TGCCTGAGATTTGTCACACACTTCACTTCCAAGGGGATTAGTAAAATGAAAAGTCGTAATTTGATCTGATATGCAAGGAGGGGTAAGTAAACCCCTCTAGATACTTTCACCCTCCACTCCTCTTTCATTCGCATAGTTCACGGAGTGAGCCAAAGATAAATTGTTGCATTACAGCGGACTCTTGGGTATTTTCTTGATCCCCGAACTGCAAATCATTTTATCCTTCACTATGTTGCATACTTAATAACATTTTGAAGCATTACTTGGCCTTATAAAATGGGTTACCTGCAGTTCAAAAAATGTTATCAGTGTCTTGACTGTTGTCTGGAAGGAATGGGTTGCCCTAAATGCAGTAGGGCACATTATTGTAACAGGTGTCCCTTGGGGGTGCATGATTTCTTTTTGTTCTTTCATCTTTTCTTTTTTTGTATTCATTTTAAACAACCTATCTTGACAGGGGTTGTTTCAATATTTCATTGTATTCTGTGCCGCCAGTGTTTGTTTTATCAGCTATTCTGCTGCATTTAATAAGCATTTGACTTCATTCAAGGCTCCACTTTATTATCTGAATGTCATATAGTTTGTTGTATAAAAATATCTGTATAATGAATTTACTATGATTAAGTTCCTCCATCTTGATTTTATGGATAGAAAATAATGCTTATTTTTTTAAAATAGAGACAAAACAGGTATCTCTGTCTGTACATCCTCAATATATTAACTTTGTTATGTCATAGTTTACTAGATGTTGTATTTATTGTTTTTCTAATGAAAATAATTCGCAGTCTCATTTTTTAAACTAAATAGAAGTAATTCTGACATATCTTACTTTTTATAATATATTGTACAAGCATTGAAAAGTCTTAATGTATTGTGGAAAGAATTATTCTTGTTTTAAAGGACACAATTTGATTAAAAAAGATCCTCAATAGAAAATGTGTTAGGTAGAAATGTATATTCCTCATTATAAATGAAGCTGCTTGTTAGTTTTTATAAATGTTGTAATGGTATGGTAATGTAAATTGTGCAGAGTATATTATTGTTAAACAGAACTCCGTCTGGATACATGAAAGATAATATTTATATACATTTCATAAACATGGCAAAGCATTTCTTTTATTTTCTGTTGAACTTCATTTCTAGTAAGGCATATTAATAATGGAATGGATCCAGAATTAATCATACTTAGGCCAGATGGATGGAAATCAGTGGAACTTAAGTCAGTCATGATGAAGCAGCTCTGTGTAATTCTGTTTTCAAAGCAGAGAACTCCCTGGTCAACATTAGAATAGCTATTGCTATGGTCATTCAGAGTTAAAGGAGGCTATTATTAAAGAAACTTTTACTTGACCTAGAGGGATTGGGAAATTATTAACCAGTCTCAAATGTGCCTTTTCTGACTAAGGTGATTAAAAATGTGATGGCCTAGCAAATCCAGACACATCTGGAAAATACTGTTTATTTGGACCCATTTCAGTCTGGCTTTTAAGCAATATATTGCAACTGAGACTAATTTAGTTGTTTTAGTGAATTACCTGTAATAGAAACTGGATGCAGGCATATGGCCCTACTAATTTTTTTAGGCCTCTTGGTGATTTTCAGTACCGTTGGCTATGATATCCTTCTTGGACCTTGACGTTACTCCTTGGGAACACAGTTTTGCAATGGATCTGATCCTGTCCATCAAACCATGTCAAGAAAGTAGTGCTGGGAGTCTAATGGTACTTAGCTACTTCTTGACTCCTATGCTATTTAACATCTACATGAAACTATTGGAAAGTCATGCAGAGCATTGAAGTGAGTGCCACCAATATGATTGTGTCATCCAGCTCTTCTGCTCCTTATCAACTAAGTCGAGGAAGCAGTTAATTCCCTTAATAATTACCTACATTTAATAATAGGCTAAATGCACATGAAATTAAATTTAGATAACAGGAAGATATTGTAGACTACAGTTCTTTCATGGGTGTCTGTTTGGTGGGAGGAGAGGAAGCATAGAGGGCCAAAGGATGAAAAGTAAACGCTGCAACTTACATAGTTGCCTCAGTTATTGGGGCACAAGTATCAGAGGCAGTATTTGGGTGATATCACTGCACAGATGTCATTGTGGTGTCATAGTAGTTTGCTGTGCATGCTGCCATGGTCAGTCAATTGTGTATGGGATTGCATTCCATCTGAAAGTGACTTTGGAGGTGATCCTTGATTTTCAACTGTTTCTGGATTTCAAGGTGGCAGCAATGGCAAGGAATCCATTTATACAACTATGTTTTTAATTAGGCTTTTTGATGAGATAATTAATTCTATTAGTCGTTGTTTTTACTATGTTCTAACAGTAAGAAATTGTGTTTAATTTTGACTAACTTAGGGCTCTGTGAGTAAAAAAAAAAATTTCATAGAAACAATAATAAACAAATATGTCTTAGCTTTGAAGGAGGAATATTTCAACAGTATCATTGTAAAGGGAATGGGTTACTCAGTTTTCCTTAGTAATGATGATTGTTTCCCAGTGAATGATGAGAATGTAACTTGGCTAACCCAGTTGGGATCCATAATTACTGTTGTGCATAACTTGTAAAGAGAGTGAGATTTGGTAAATGTAGCTGTATTATGTAGGGAAAGGAAACCCTCTTGACACTGTAGCACTCAGTGGACTAAAGGTGTCAATAACATAAAATGTACCCTGAATAGCTCTTGTGCTGTCTGCTATGCATTTAACAGAGAAGAGAGATTAGAATGCTTTTTGTTGTACAAATAGATCACCCCAGTTCAACAGATTCCAAGATTACAGTAACCTGAGAGAAAAGGAAGTAGTTTCATTGGATGCTATCTTACCCATTGACATTGCCTTGCAATGTGGGTTGCTCCCAAGCAAGGCACATCCACTGTGGAGCTCTTGGATGAATCCTATGTCCCATAAATTCAAGTAGGATTTTAGAGGTTAATTATGCAGGTATATGTAATCCCAACCCATGCTTCTTGCTTACAATAATTATTTACAAAAATTATTATCTGTGAAAATAGATAACAGTAGTAGTTCTGAACAATAAGTTATGTATTAATGCAAGATATTGAAGATTTGTACTGCACTTATTCCAGAATTGTGAATTTCTCTTCCTTCCCCTTCTCCAGAATCTTGTAGATTCTGGAATCTTGTGGATCTCGAGAGGTGAGTGATGTTAGGTTCATTTTTAGAGAAGTTTTCCTACTGTGGTTGCTTTTTAGCCAGGAAACCTTTGCAGTATGTTTGCTATTGGAGACCTTGGCACCACTGTCGATACATACTCACATATACAGGGGTTCACAACATTCACTGCTGGCAGCTAATTTTTTTTTTTAAAAAAAGAACACATTTACTCAGAATTGTGATCAGATAACTACTGTAAAGAAAAAATCAAAATGTTGAATTCTCTCGCCATATAGCTAATTTGCTTTTTAGAAATGCAGAGGACAATATGTTCTTGGAGTTAACAAATTCAGGAGGCAATTAATTAAGAGACTCATGTGTCATTGTGAAAAGCCAGAAGTAGGATTGCTTTAGATCAACCAATGCATTCACTTGTATCAAAAAAAAGAAAAAGAAATGCTATGATTTTCTGTCAAGGACAACAGTAAAAGCAAAATTCTTTCTGGAAAAGTTACTGCATTTCAGTATGTAAAAAGAGAAGTGTTTCTAACACATTCACTTCCTCACACTTAAACTTTTTCTGTCTACATCATCAAAGCAACTACACTGCAGAAGCACTACTAGGAAAGCACAATAGGTCTATGAGAGGATCCTGTGTGGAATTCGAATTAATCAGAATTCAGGCTCTCCATCTGATAGGAGCGTTTTTCTTATGCCACCTGTTTGTTGAAGTTAAGACCAACTTCTAAGCTGCTTCAGATTCTTATTAGCTTCTGCTGTAGCCTCATCATGTCCCCGGGTCTATCCATTTGTATCCTTTGTGGCTTATTGGCATTGTGGTTGCACATATCTGGTGCAACTGTAATACTATCTGTAAGACCGTAAATCAAACTTAATTATATTACTTTACTTGTAACAGTTTTGGTTTAGCAATCTGCTTGAATAGAACTAACTTGCCATTTTGGAAAATAATTAAATACTTGAAGCCCAAGGGCACTTTAAGTGGGTTCAATATTTTCTATAGTGGTTTGTAAGCAGTGCAGCAGAACAAACTTTGCATTAATATATTTTCACCTCCAATAGAGTAAGACATTAGGGCAGAGCATCCCAACTTTCTCAGTTCATGGCGCCCCTAGGGGTTCCCTAACTCTGTGCCAAGGTACTCCAGATCACCACAGCAAACTCACAGTACCATTTATTAAGTAGTAAAATATCCAATGGCATCCCTGTGAGTTCGCTTTATGCCCCAGGGCGCCACAGTGCATAATTTGGAAACTGTGGGATTAGGGTATTGCTTTTCCTATCTGATTTAAAACTGAGTGAAAATACTGTAGTTCAGCAGTATATTTTAAAACTCTCACTTTATGCTTAATAGGATAAATAACACTACATTATATTATAACACTACATTATATTCATCTAATAAAGCCACAGAATTAAATACTGACAGCATAAGTAATATGCATGAATGAAGTCCTATAGAATGTCATCATAATCTGGGAAAATGTCTACAGTGAAACATGAATGAGTTATGGAAGAGATTCCTCACTAGTCCAACTTCAATAATTATATTCTAATAACTATATTATAACTGAATTAGAATCTGTATATTGTCCCTTTAATTGCACTAACATCTGGGAAAATGTTGATACAAGTGAAAGTTTATTATACATTTGGTGCATTTTTATATAAGAAAGAAGAAATACCAATCATTCGTTTCAATTTTAATTGCTTGTTATTAGTTCAGGGCAATGTATTCATGACATTTGTCCCAAACTGGAATTTGTTCTACCACCTTCCAATATTTTGTGTACCTTATTTTGGATGTTGATTGCAACTACTCTTTTATCAATTTCTCCTGCTCTTTCTTCTCAGGATTTATCAGGCTCCATTGATGACCTGCCTACTGGAACTGAAGCCACATTGAGTTCAGCGGTTAGCGCATCAGGTTCTACCAGCAGTCAAGGGGAGCAGAGCAATCCAGCACAGTCACCTTTCTCCCCTCATGCCTCTCCACATCTCTCCAGCATTCCTGGGGGCCCGTCCCCTTCCCCCGTGGGCTCTCCAGCTGGAAGCAACCAGTCAAGGTCTGGTCCCATTTCTCCTGCAAGTATTCCAGGTAAATGGTGGGCTTTAAATATATATCTGTATTCAGCAATTTGTAGTGGTCTGTTTTGTTTTTTTATCAATATTTGTATGTGCTTCTCCCTTCTCCATCCCAGGCATATGTCATACTCTCAGTCATTTGAATTAAAGAATTCAGATTAAAGGATAGAATGAAACAGTTAAACTTGTTAAGGAGGAATACTTTGTAAATTGTTACACAGCCAAAATTCACACCTCACCCCTTTCAAAAGGTCACTGATGTTTGTTTTGCAAATGAACAAAAATAAGACTGCAATATTATGCATAGTTACTTCAAGAAGTAAGCTTCATTTAATTCAGAATGGGTCCTGCTTCTGAATAAACATGCATATGAGATTGTGCTGTATCTTGATTGTCACTTTTTGCCTCCCTCCCAGTTTGTCTGTTCTGATCTTAGTCAGCTTCTGATCTCCTATTGAGTCTTGCCACAAGCTTGTCTGTATGACATAGATTGACTTACCCAATCATTTTTCCCCCTTCTGGAAAGTAATTATAAAACAAGGAGCAGTTGTATTGCTGATACTACGTCAGCATTGCAAAAATTTAGCAGGGGGTTGTTTTTCCTGAAAAGTTGGTTAAAATTAAGGTGTTCTGGTCCCATCGTTTACTGGTGTAAAAGCATCCTTTATCTCATACCTTTGTCAACCAAAAAGAAATTGGCACCTAAAGAAGTATCAAAAGAACATAAAGAATGACTCCAACTGAATTTCTAAATGTTTGGTTTGACCCTATGTGTTGTTTAAGCACTGTCCTTCTCCATTATATTATTATTTGTTTGTTTGTTTGTTTTCATCTTGATCATGTTTGTGAGAATGAAAGTACATCATAATACATACATTGTCATAACTTATTTCTTTCTTTCCCCGTTGAAAAAAAGCATGGGCACATATAGCTGAGAGTTGGATCCCATACTGCGTAATTTACTCACCACCATCAACTGTAGCCTCTCTATCACTGAAGTAAAACATAGTCATATTATAAAATATAGAAATCATTTAAAGTGCTTTCAGAACTTTGTACATCACAGATGTTATGCAGTTTCTTCCTCATTTATCACTCCATTTTTACCAGTGTATTGTTAATTACTATTTGCAAAAGGAAATGCTTGTCATTTAGAAGGATGATCTCTCCCTCCCCCCCCCGTTCTTTTTAATAAAATGATAACTGAGGAGTGAAAGCTGACATGGCATTACATCAAAATGCATTGCTGATGCCAGAACATTTAGTGAGCGCTAGCTTGGCTTGCTTCCTGGGCCCAAAGTCTCAGTTTACTAACAAAGCAAAAATGTTAAAAAGCAGGAGGCTGGGATCACAACATTCTGTGGCCAGCTCTCAGTTTCTAATGGACCAGTATTATGTTTTTACCAGATGCTCCAATAGCTACAGAAATATTCTGTTCCAAGGTTTAATTATGATATGGACAAATTGACTAAAATAACCCCCACCCTGTTTCATGAGTCTTTATGTGCAATGTAAGGCAGCTAAGCAGTCCTTATTAAAGAATATATTGCAATCTTACCTATCATTTATACTTTGCTCTCTTTTCCTTTAAAACAAAAAGAAATTGTAAGTGTTCTTTTTTATTTTTTTCTCACATAACAAATAATATGTTCATTGATAAAATGGAGGGAATTTGCTCTTCTGAGTCTCCCTCCCTTGTTTTAAATATTACTCTCTGAGGTCCTTTCTGGAGTCTCCAGTCTTGCAGTAGCTTTTGAAGGGAAATGCATACTGTCTACTGGCAAATTGTACAAAATGTCATTTACATCGTGTGATTTTCATCACTGATACTGTATTCAGTAATTACAGTACTTAGCAATTGTATAGGTGTCCAATCATTGTCCTGTGCATGAGATATATTCATGTTCCTTTACACAGAAGCCCTGTGATTATGAAAATTTTTTTGTATGATAAGAGCACATCCTATATGCTTACTATGGGCAATAATCTGTTAGGCAAATATGTAACTTTAAGGAGCTTTTGATAGTAGAGACAGGGCCAACATCTGAAGCCCTGCAATACAACTTGCTCCCAAATGAATCCCCAGAAAGTAGCAGGGAATGGGACAGCAAAAACAGATGCAGCAGTCTTTTTCTGAGTTTAGGTAGGAGAAGGGAGTCTTAGGCTACTGGCTCTTTGGGCATATCCTGGGGTGATGGAGCAATTTGTAATTGCTTTTTCGTGATTTGAGGTTCCAGTTAGGGACTGCCTGCCCTACCATCGAGATACTTGTGTAAAACAACACATTCTGGGTCTGTTTGTTTTTGTGGGGATAAGGACATTATTTGAGACTGGGAAAAGGGGTATTTTGAGTCAAACACTTTAAGAATCACTGAGTTAGGTGCTATATAGTTCAAAAGAGAAACTTATTTTTTTAAAAAAGCTTTAAATATATAGTCTCTTTAGGGTGGAGGAGAAGCAGCAGTATGTTTATTTCCAGTTAAGAGTGTTCTAGCATGAAGGCAGCAAAAAACAGCACATTTTATTCCTATATCATGAAGGTGTTATAATTTGAGTTTAAAATGGAAAATTCTTCAGTCTTAGGAGTATGGTTTGTTGGAATATTTGAGATAAATTATGTGAAGGGAGCCAGGACTCCATCTCTCTGTTCATGAGGGTGATAAATCTCGGAAAACTTAACAAAATGTGCCCAAATTTGGTGAGAGAACAAAAGAAAAGATTATGTTTGAAAATCGGTCAGGTTGGACTAGTGGTTGCGTGGATAAAATTCTTCCAGTACTTCCTTTTGGGAGAGGTCTTTGGGCAGCAGGTCAAATTGTTGCCAGAAGCTCCAGTCTAAGCCCTTCGCTGTCTTCCCTTCTGGAAACGTGACCCACAGCAGAGCCTGTGCAACCCATCTCATGTTTCCCAGTGCACAAACACACACAAACATACCCACTGCTGGAAAAGAGGTTGGACGCTTTCCTTGTTTTAATCAGGATTAGGCATGCGTTTGTTTGTTTGCTTTCACATATTAGAAATTTAAAAGTAACAGAGCAGCGTGGAGGGAAGGAAAGAAAAATGCAACCTGTACTTCCTACATGGACTTACCAAAGCAGGTCTAGAGAATAAAATTATTTAACTAGCTACCACTTTCTAGGCAGTGAAACTAATGTCATGGAAAACACTGGTGAGTCTGAAAGATGAAAACTATATGCATTTTAAGCTTAGTCAACAGCTAAAAAACAAGGGGACTGAAGTGGTAACCATATGATTTAAGGCAAACTGTTCTGCAGAGCACAGAAACCTAGTTGTAGCTTTATAAAATTCCTTTGGTGATAGATATTTCAACAGATGAAGAACATGAATTATGAAGCTCTTCTCACAAGTAGATTCATTTTTTTCCTAAAGACAGGCTAGCAAAACTAAAAGGTTTTAGTCATATGTATTTCTTAGCCGCCTTGTCTGATGGGACATAGTAATGGGAAAGGAAATGTTGGATTGTTGCTTAGAATTGATAGTTTTGGGGAGGTTGGGGGGAAGGATTTCTGATATGGCATCTCTGCCATTGTAAGTTGAATGACACACGTGCAATAATGAGAAAACTCATGTCTTCTGCCCGTCTTGCACAGGAGGATGGTGTGTTATAATTAAAGGTAGGGTTTGCAGGGACATGAAGTTTCTTTTACTAGGTTTTTAAATCTATTTTATTTTGTAAAGTTTATATGTACTTGAGGTTTGGAGTATTACTTTATTTTATGTTGACATTGTTAGCCATCCATAGCATCTGGGAATGGACAGCATACAAGCAAAATAAATAGTTATTAACGTAGGTGTTCAATTATGAAAAGCTGTGGTAACCTATTAGAGGTTATATTGCTTACCTTTGTTTTAATTTGGCCCTAATGAAATTATATTTAAATGTCTTTCCCAAAGATTAGGAAGTTCATCTCTGTGGATGTACAGCTTACTTTGCCTTATGATGAAGATAGCCAGGCAGTTCCATGATGTGATTGTGGGCTGTTTTTCCCATTGGCAAGTGATACTTTGTGGAAGGGGAAGTAAAGCCAAGGTTTATTACCATCAATCTCTTTCCTTAACATTGCCTGTATTAAATCAGTAAGGATATCTGATTTGCTGGACTCATTATGGTAAAAAAGGGATCAGCAATGGAGGAAACACAATTTATGCCAGTATACTTTTCTGAGAGGCCAAGGATTGGTGGATACCATGGTTTAAGGTGGCCATCTGGAAGAACCTGGCAGACATGGTTTCTATTTACTGCTTTGAAATGGTTTTAATTGTAGTTTCTTAACCTACTATTAATATAATAGGTTAGTTAAATAATTTGTCGCAAAATATAATTCAATTCAATTATATAAATATAATTCAAACCCATTTAAAGTTCCTAATACTAATATCCAAAGAGTAATTATATCATGGAAGCTATAGCTAAAGAAACAATGATGCCCAAAATTAAAGATGTTGTGAATATTTACTTTGCAAATGACTGTGAAAAGTGTGGTTTTGTACATATCTGTTCAGACTTAGTTGTATTCAGTGGGGCATACTTACAGGTGAATAAGTATGAGTTGCCACTGAAATTTTATTTACCCACAACTACTAAATTCAGATCAACAGTTAGATATTTATTTTAAAAAATCAGTATTATTTTTTAAAAAGTACTTGAAAGAGTTCCTTCACAAAACACATTGGCTTTGGAAACTGTCAAGAAAGCAAGTTGGTTCTGCAACTGATATACATGCACAAATAAACCAGGGGAATCTTCAGAGCCAGTGGGCCAAGCCTTGCAGAGGGGACAAGTGCTTTAATGCTCTGAGAAAGGTGCTTCTCCTGAACCAATCTGCTTTTTGAAGCATCCGTTATTAATGGTTTACATAGCTACTAAATATTTAAAACATGTTTCCTTCCTCTTGTAGTATTTTTATCCACTCATCCATAACTTAAAAATCATTGCATTTTTTTTTTAGTATTGTATTATGAAAATAAGAGTTTTATATATATCTGGCTTAT